GGCGAGACTTGAAAAAACATCTAAAAATTATCCTTACGTAGCAACAGCCCATCTTATCATTCAATAGATTCCAATCCTAAATTATTCTTAATGAAAAAAATAATTTAAAGTCAGCTTGAAGCAACAGTTAAAACTTCATTTGAGAACTAAATGAAGAAAAAGTAAAAACAAATCTTCGTAAAGAATGGAAGACTTTAATTCCAACGAAGAAATGAAAAAATGCACTTTCGAACGAAAAAAAATGCACTTTTGGTTACTGGTAAATGTGTTCAGTGAATATTTGGAAAAAAATTTTAATTTTAAAATGTTAAACAGCGCAATTTCATTTGATTATTTTGTTGCTGTTTAGTTCATAAGCGGTTCGATCTAAAATAACTGAAATTTTAATGACTTATAAAGAGCAAGGTTATACTCTTCCATCGCTCTTCGCTCTATGATAGAAATATTTCACTTTTATAATTGAATTTTCATTAAATTGAAGTAGTAGATAAGTTTTGAAATTTGATATAATAGAAAGAACTGCAGTCAATCGCCATAATTCAATTAGCTAATTAAATCGAAGTAATCATAATCACTAAGAATAATTTAGGATTGGAATCTGCTGAATGGTATCATGGATTGTTACCACGTAAAGATATAAACATTCTGCTCTCTAAACATGGTCAATTTTTGGTTCGTGAAACGGAAATCAACAAGGGAGAAGTATGATCTCTGACATTTTATATACATATATAATTTCCAATTAGAATAAAGATATCAGTTCCGATATACTTACCAATCATTCTTCATGCTTAAATGATGTTTGACAGTATAAACAACCTTGGCACACTTCAACAATCAATATTTTGAAGAAAGAAAAAAGCGGGGGAGGGGAGGTTGAAAGTAAATGTAAAGCGACAAAATCATAGTAAACAAAATTTTCGGAATTTCTATTAGAAAAAAATCCTCAACAGTTTGATCATAATGAAGTGAAATTAAAAGATGGCTCCAAATATTTTTACATTTCAGAGGCATCAGTTTGTGTTATCGGTGAAATGGAATGATAAGGCAATGCATTTCATTATTCGTCAAGCTGATGGAAAAGTTTTTATTGAAAAACGTCAATTTTCTTCTATCTGTGAGCTGATAAGGTATCATTCACTCTGTGATAAAAAGGAAAAATTATTTCTGTTCGTCTAGCACATATTTCTGATCTAAATGTTGAATTGCATTTAAAATATTTAAATATTAAAAAAAATAACCTAGAAAATTGGAAAAATATTCAAGTTTACCTATTTAAATGTAGATATCATTTGATCACCAAAGATCCAATAACTGATCAAAGCGGTGCTATACTTTTAAATGCTGTTCTACGACAGAGTTGGGAAATCAGACATGAACAGGTAAGCATTCAATTCAACAAATTCTCTCATTCCACTCATAAAACAAAAGTAAACTTTGGCTCGGATGAAGAATTTTATTTGACTTATATGTTTTGAATTCAAAACTGTTGATGGAAATTTCAATGTACAGCAAAATGAGAAGTATTGCAGATAGAATTTAAAGAATTATTAGGAGAGGGTGCAATATTCGTCGTTTACAAAGGCAAATTTAAGGATGATGGAAAGGAAAAAGAGGTAATAAAACATTCTAATTCATTCGAGAATGTGCTCTTCAGAAAAAAATTTAATTAAAAGTTTTGTTGAAGTTTCCTTAACTGAAAGAAGGAAAAAATCGATTATGCAAATAATGAGTGGATGACGGTGAGGTACAAAAGTTATTCATTTTTTTTTAATTCTAGACGAAATTTACGAATGGTAACTTATTGCATGCAAAAAAAATTTGATGAAAATTTAAATTGATAAAAGTAAAGAAGAAAATGTTTCTTTCAAGGTTGCGGTTAAAGTACATAAGGGGCATAGTTCAGATCGGAAGACCGTGGAACAAATTTGCCGAGAAGCACGTATAATGCGTAGATTGGAGCATCCAAACGTTGTTCGTCTTTATGGTATCGCAATCAATAAGGTATTGAACAATCAACAAATGTCAAAAAAAAGCAAAAATAACGAAAGAATCAATAAATGTTGTGAATGTGTTTGGATTCGGTTGGTTTGAGATTGGTTTGATTTGAATTGATTGGTCTAGCTTGGATTGATTGACTGCTTTGAGTCGATCTGGACTGTTTGGATTGATTTAGATTTGGTTCGTGGCACTAGAAGACTGTGTTATGTCTATCTGGGCTTGTATTGGTTCAGATTGATTGAAGTTCCCGAATGTATTGGGAATTATTTGGTTTGGGTTTGATTGCTTGACTCGAATTGGGCTTGAGTGTCAGTACTAAAGGTATTGCAACGGATGTAGGAATTAGTATCGGAACGGATTTGCTTGTTAAAGTGATTGATTGAAGAATTGGTTTATTGAACTTGGATATTTATACAATTGAAGCGAAATAGAGAATAGGCGTTTGCTCAAACTTGGGTGATTAAGCCGTAACTAAACTGTGGCTGAAAGAATCTATATCCTGTCTGAGCAAAACTCAGACCTTATATAGTAATGTGAGTTTTAAGAATACAATACATTGGGACCGGGTCAATATGATAATTATACACATGAGGATTGGTGAGGTCAATGAGATATTGGATGTGCCGAAAGGAATATGAATGATATATGATAAGATAAATCATGTAATTGACATAATGATAAATTATAATGATGCGGTAACTAATTGGATTGTTCAGTGCAGAGAATATTTTTAGTGGAATTTTGAGCTTGTTTTCGACAATAAATGATATTAGAAGAAAATAAATTCACAATAAAGATTTTTTTTTAATATAAAATTACGATGAGTTCATAATTTAAATGAAATTTTATTCCTCTATTCTCTAATTTTAGAAAAGTTCGTAACCAAAAAATTAACTTTAATGATGAAATTATTAAAGGAACCAATAATGTTACTAATGGAATTATTAAAAGATGGAAGTTTGGATGTTTTCCTGGCAACAAAAGGTTCAACATTAAGTATGCGGGAAAAGTTATACTTTTGTCTGGATATTGCATCGGGATTGGAATTCCTTCATGGTAATGGAATTATTCATCGAGACATTTCATCAAGGTTTCAGAAATGCAATCAATATTTTTACTAATAGTTTTTATTATCATCAATACAAACAAACAGATTAAAAAAAATTTAGAAATCATTAGCAAATTAGAAATTTGCATAATAAAAGACGGTGATTGTTGGTTTTTTAATCTTTGATAATAATTATCTAGTGAAAGAATTCTTTAGCTTTCAATTATAGAGAAATAACTTTAACCAAATTATATGTCAAAGGTTAAAAGCATTTTTAAGAAATTGCCTGGTGGAGGACATGTGTGTCAAAATTTCCAATTTTAATCTGTCACGAGAAATTAGAAAACAGGATGAAAAGTACAAAATAACGCGGTTGAAACAGAATTTACCCATAAGGTTTAATATACATTAAAAAATTGTGTGCTGTAATAATTATTTGAAAACTTTTAGAACTTGCGACTTATCAGTTGTTATTTATTAATTATAGTTTTTCGTCTGTCATATAACAATTAAAATCATAATGGTCAAAATATTTTGAAAACTAAAAATTAGAAACGATTTTTTTTGAAGCAGCAAGATAATTTTGAAGTGCGATTCATTCTGCTTTTCAGCATCAATTTCTCTTATTTAATTAGTATTCCCACCAAAAATTTGATTTTTGCTAAAAAATGGGATTACTTGCAAATTTACATTTAATTTGAATTTAATTTTTTTTTTCGAAATAATTCTCTTTAATCTCTCTATGAGATCTCACGTTAAGATCTACAAATAAACATGAAGAATTAAAAAAATTTAGATTTCCAGTAATTTATTTTTCAACCTATTTGATGGTAAAATGTGATCTTACATTTTTAGCAGTATGATTTTGTTAGATAACATCACGCTAAAAAATTGGAACTGTTCGATAGAGTGACGTGTCCTGAGTACATTCAAATTATTCCATCGGTCAATCCGAATAATATTTTTCCGTTTTCCCGCATTTATTCTTTTCCTTTCCCTTCAGATAGTTTGAAAACTTTCAAATAAATTGTTATAGCTCAGAAACCATTTTATCTTTTCAAAATTCTTTGAGCAGTTAAATTTTGCTTATAGAAATAATGAACAGAATTGAAGTTGACTTTTTCCTTTCAATGTAACGGAAACGAATAGAATTAGATATAATTTGAATTACAAATAAGAGTAATTTATCACAGTGCAATTAATTTAATATAAATTGAGTGATGATATGATACAGATGGCTAGCACCAGAAACGATAAAAAGTGCAATATATACAACAAAATCAGACGTGTTCAGTTATGGGATATTGCTCTGGGAAGTGTTTACAAATGGTGCGGAACCGTATTGCGGAATGACGGTCGCTGAAGTTGTTGTTAATGTAAGCTTCATTTCAATCATATGAAAAATGACATTTCGAAAGAAATGAAAGGATTAAAACTTCATCATTTTAAGCGTATATGAAATTGATTACTTAATAAAAGCAATGAGATTTTTTTTAGACGAAAATTGTGAAGAATAAAAACTAAACTGTTTGCTCACTAATTCTCGTTGTCGATGAGAAATTTAGGTGAAAGAAGGATATCGAATACCATCGCCCGATACAATGCCTAAACGGTTGCAAGCTTTGCAACGAAATTGCTTCGCAACAGAAGCCTCAGAGCGATGGTCGATGGCACAAATTCGAAAGGAAATTGAAATGATTTGTTTACAATTCCAAGATTAAACCTTTAATTATACAATTCCAATTCACAATCTAAATGTAACAGAGCATTATTTGCTTCTTGAAATAAAATCTTCTGTAATTTTCAGTCTCATTTGTCATGTGTGTGAATTTAGTAGTTCTATCAATTGGATAGGTGACAATCTGGAGTTTTATTTAATTAAATGGATCAGAAAGAAAAAAGATTCAAGAATTATCTCAATTGAGGATGCCCATTTTGACCTTTTAACTGTAAAATAAAATGGAAGTGAAGAAGGGACGTCCAGATGATTTAGCAGGCAATATCTACCGACTAGGATGTTAGCGTTTCATTATGGACTCGTCGATTTCCGGCATGCTTAGAGAAATGCATTTCAATCGTCCAGCAATATTAGCCAAGAATTTTCTCAAGACTCTCGAGGTGTCAGATCCGTTGCACTGATGACGGTCATTACCGTTCGAAGCATAATATAATGAAGGGAAGGGTGAGATAAATCATTGTGTCTTCCTACACCTCTCTCACTCCTAATGATATTAGTCGCATTAATTTTCCCATAAGCCTTACGCCACTCCACACAGCCTTTTCCACTTATCTCATATCTCATGTCATATTTATTATAACCGAGCAATTGTATTCTCTTGTTTTTATTGTCATACGCATTTCTTATTTTCTTTATACGACTACTCTATATAGATCATTACGCTAACTAAAAAGGTGCAATTATGTTAATGTTTGATAGTAAATCCATTGTATATAAATTGTTATTCACTACGGTATTTCGATTGATCGGAATTAATACTATGGAAAGAAAAAAATTAGAAAATATAAAAAGAATAGATTCAATGGCGGCACTTGTCTTTGCATTTATATTTCATTACTTCAAATTTGCACTCCGTTGCTTCGTTACTTTGATCTTACACTGCTCGTATCATTTTATTTGGCATAAAAATAGAACTGTGCCATACTGACAACCGTATGGCGCAGTTTTGTTTAATGCGATTATTAGTTAGCAATTTCTATCCTTTGCACTTTTTAAATTTGGGAGATTCGCAAGCAGAAGACATAAGAATAATTAATAGCTGGACGTGTATTCCAGCTTGAACAGTCTCTTATTCTTGGTCTCAATGGAAAAAGCTTGTGGAATGCTTATAGAATAAAATAAAATTAAGGAAAGCGAATGTAAATATTTGATACAATAATATAACCATATCGATGGGAAACAAAATTAATTTTAAATTTTTGCTATAGTCCGTTAAATCCTTTTTTCTAGAAGTTATTCCATGACTGGATTTGTTCTGGAATTTTTTAAAACTGAGTATTGATTCAGTTTCTTAATTTCACTACTCTGGTAGGTGCTAAGTGCCTTGAAAAATATTTTCTGATAGGGAGATGACTACGTAAACATTTCGTTTTATGTATTACAATGATAAGAAATTTATCATAAGGAGAAGTTTATCATAAGGAGATTCCCGATGTCCCATTTCTTTAAGTAGGGAAGTTAATTACTTTTTTTCCATAATTGCTTGACTCAAATATTCTCAGGTGCTTGAGCTCAAATGATGCAAGTGCAACAAACTACGCTTCTGTTTAAGTTTGGATTATGATAAGATAGAGCAGATGAAACGCTTGCATGTTATAAATCTAATCACACTGCAGTTTTTGTTGGGAATTGTAAATTTATCCATTAAATTTCTATAAAATCATAAAATCAGCAGGGTTGAAATGTATTTTATGTTACCATCATTTTGTGCATTGAACCTTTCTCTTCAAATTATTTCATTCAGTTATTTTTGTATTATTTGCAACAGATCATTTTTAAAACAATGGACATAAAAGAAAAACTTTGTAGTTTTTCTTTAAAAGATTAAATGATTAGACGGAACAGACAAAATTATTGGGTTTTTATTATGCGCTTAATTATACTTCTATTGATATTCACACGTTTTTCTGTTGCTGATATCTTGTTTAAAGTATCCTCCGAGTAAAACATGTCGCTGCATTGTATCTTTTTAGAAAGCTTTCAAATATATTTAATATTTCACTTTATTTGTAAATATTTGTGATTTCTCTTAAATTTCCTCAAATTTTTTTCGTTTTAAACGTTTAAACCAGAAGCATTGCCAAAAGTTTCCATGTTAATTCATTAATATTAGACTTTTCCAAGTCATAAATTTTGATTTTTCTACTTATAAATCAATGTAATTATTGTTCAGAATGTTGTAAGATTCGAAAATTCTAGGTGGTTTTGCTTATGAAAAACAAAAAAGTCAGTACACTTAATGAAATTGGTATTCACTTCCTGGGAGTCCGGATGTGAAGAAGTTTACACGAAAGGATGGAAAATACTTGCGGACTCAATAATTTCAACTTCAAGGGACGTTGTGATTTATCGGGGTGACATTCTTGCTTTAGAGGATTCCACTGTAGTAAGTTTTATTTTCTTATGGTTTTCAAAAGTGATCTGTTCATTCAGTTAGCTAACCCATGGTACATTTTACTTCTAAAAATGTTTTCGTGCTAAAAGAAGCCGGAACAGATGGTTTAAAAATGAACAGATGTTTAAAAAAGGAAAATAATTTCTTGTTATTTATCTTGTTAGCTTTTTATTATGAAACTTTCCTTTTAGTACATATATACCTCATCTGGTATCAAGAAGCCATATTTGAACGGAACTTCGTTTTCTTCATCTCGTTTTATCTCTTTCCATGCTGCCTATGAGAAATTATTTTTAATAAGTGAAGAAGGTCGTCTTTTTGGTTGTGGGCATACTGCTTACGGTGAATGTGGTGTAATTTCTTCAAATCCGGTTGAATCATTGCGTGAAATTAAATTGGTTGCATCACTGGCTATTTGCCCCCATGGATCTTTAGTTACTACCGCAGAGTAAGGAATTTTTTAATTTCTTGAAAATTATTTTGGATAAAGATAATAAAAATATCGTATGCAATAAGATTTTAAATAGTTATATAATTTGCAGTTGGTTTTATTTTTAATTTTTTTTCACACTCCTCATTCCTACAAAAAAAAGTAAAATAATCTTTTCTCTAATGAAAGAGAAAATTTTTCCTTTAGTTTTTTTAAAGATTCAGCTTGATTTTTTCACTGTACGATTTTCGCTTTTTCTGTTATTTTTTATTCCTAATTTCAGTTTAGGTCACTGAAAGTGAGATTTGTTCAAACATCCTCATCAGAGGTTTGCGTTGTTGATTTTTGTGGTCAGTTATGGAAATATGGTGATGGAAGATTAGAATTTGATTCGCTAGGACGCGTTCAAGTGCACCCTTTACAACTTGCATCAGGACGCAAAGTTTTGCAGTTATGTGCCGGAAGGTTTGAACAGTCTTTAAGCACGTTTTTATTATGATGTGTTTTATTCATTGCAATTTTATGAAATTTTTTTAGGAAACATTTTGTTTGCTTGGCTATTCCTTTGACTGATAAAACAATTGATATCGATATTGAAAATTCACCAACTTTGGAGATTCGAAGATCGAATAAATGTGGAAAATGTCAAGAAGAATATGAGCTACGGCTGAGTACATTAATGCATATGGCTGACCAGGTTCTGGCTTTCTTTTCATTTGTTTATTTCACTTTGTTGCTGAACTTCGCTGCTAAAGCAAAACTCTCAGTTTTCTTCACAGCTCAAAGAGAATTATTGCTTTCTGAAAACGTATGTCTCATTATATTCAGTAAATGATTCATCCCATAGGAGCATTTAATTTTGCTGAAAGCTCTGCTTTGAATAAAATTTTCCTAATTTTCAATATTGAGAAAAATATCTCTTTTAGAAAAATGAAGCACATGTTTCATTTGGAAGCTGTGAAAAAGAATTGACTGTGAAAACAAGTTTTGCTATTCGTAATCCATGCTCACTTCCGGATGCAGATAACAGGTAGTCACTTTTTTAGATTTTATTGGCTGAATTTAATTCCATAAGAAGAAATGGATATGTCTGCTGCCAATGGTTTTTTTTATTCTTCTAATTAATACCTATGCTTTCAGCGCAAACCAGCATCAAGCACTTCACTTCTGTAGTTCATCACGTGCCGCTAAAACTGCTATTGTAAAACGGTGGAAAGAAACTTTATTTGACGAATTTGAAATGACGGAAATGAAAAATGTCAACGTCTTGGATGGACTTGGGAAAAATTCAACATTCGTTTCAATAGAAAATCTACCTGATATGTATTATATGCAAAGTACGAGTTTTATATGACGAGTCATGTAAGCAATGAAAATAATTACATCATTCAAGGAATATGTATTTCATTTTATTTCTATTCAAATCGAAACTTGTTTTTGATTTTAAATAAGTTACAAAGTTCTTACTTTTAAAGTTATATTTAAAAATACATATGTTTTTTTTGTTAAAGAGGATGAAAATAATTGAAGTTGCTATGCATTATGGTTATAGAAATAATTCCTGCGAATGAAATTTTTTTAGTTTTTTCACCTTGATTTCCATAATGAATCAGTCTATTTTTTCTTTTATTTTTCCATTTATTATCAAGATGGTTTCATTTATTGGAAAATTTGCGTGTTTTTAGATACAGAAGACTCATTATCAAGATGTACTGTTCAGAATGAGAGCCCTTCAAAATCGGATAGAAGAGTTTCACTCACCAACTCACAGGATGATCCTGACCTATTACCAGAAATTTGGACATGGGGTGCTAATGAATACGGCCAGCTAGGACATGGTGATTTGGCAGTGAGGTATCAGAATCAAGAAACTTCATAAAATTATCTTGAAAGTGTACCGTTTATTTCTCAGCAAACTTTTGGTATCCGAAAGCAGTGTTTTTTTGATTTCTAATTTCATTACAGGAGAGTGCCATTTAAAGTAGCCGATTTATCTGGCATGTACTGTATCAAAGTGGCAGCAGGAGACGACCATACCATCGCAATTACTGGATCTGGAAAGGTTGTCAGTCTTTTTTATATTACCATCAATATCGCTTATTCTCTTTTGATCAAAACCTAATCAGCAATGCTGATAGTATTTTCCAGAAGATTTGATAAGATTGTATACGTTATCAAAAAATCAGATGTCATTAATTTTTATTGATTTTTCAAAAAACATTTAATCAAATTGATTAGATTTTTTCAGTTATATGTCTGGGGATCAAATAATGATGGACAGCTAAAACAAACTAATCTATCACATGTAACGAAGCCAACACTTTTTAAAGTCAATTTTGTTGATTTAAATGGTTTTTTGACTAACAAAAACCGATGTCTTCAGCATTTTATTCATATAACAGTCTGCATAACAATTTTTATCTATTTACTGATCTGATCTGCAATTAATAATTTACTTATTTCTATTTATAATTTCTGCTAAAGGAAAATGTAATTTAAAGTTTGCACTTTTTTGGTCACCAGTTATTTTTTCTCAGTAATTTTGTAGATTGGAAGCCATTCTTTTGTTTTGGATGCATTTGCAAATGGTTGTCATACGGGTGTTATTGTTGGCGGTGTGGCAAATTCTGCCACGCTCTATCTCTGCGGAAGTAATTCTACGGAGAAATCACTACAATCGTTATCACTACCAAAAGAGGTTTTTTTCCTTCTTGTTTTTTGATTTTCATTCCCATTTTACCTTAAATTTTTATTTTATACTTGCACATTTTAGGCAAGTGCGATTTTTAGACAACTGTTTCATTTAGATTAGAAATTATAGATTTATCCAAATTTATAACCACTTCAAATTCCTTGTTCTTATTTTTCTAGCTGTATATTAGACTACAGTGTCACCTCTTTCTTGACAATAGAATCAGCGTGTTTCAATCTTTATTACAGATTGGTTGGCCGGGTTGGATTTTAATTGCAAATAAAAATCTTGCGGTTGGGGTACATGAATCAACTGATGAAGTCAATGAACATCTTTTACGAATGTTCGTTTTCTTTCATTATGCGGAATTTGTACAGCAGATCTGCCAAATGTGTCAGAAAATGCATGAAAGAAGTAATCATTCTTTTATAAATGTTGAAATTAAGTCTTGAAGTGATATAGATTGTTTTCTACAAACTCCATAGTGAGTTATTCAGTTGACATATCTTAATTTAAGTTTTTTCCAGGTCACATTGTAAACAGTCCGCTTTTGTCGAAATTATTAAATAAATTAGCTTTATCATCGGCAGGATATTCGACACACATATTCAAGTGAGTATTTTAATTAAATACATATATATCCATCAAGTTCAAAAGTTTGCTAGTTTTCAAGCGGATGAGTAACATCGTTCATAATTATTTCAGTCAGTATTAAAACAATAGTTAAATTTTATTTTTACCTGAAACAGCTGACTTAAAAAATCACAATTCTTCCATAATTTTATGAACTTTTGACTGAAAATAAGTTAAATATGTGTCTTGAATCTTTCAGATTGATAAAAATGGTGCGTGATAATCTTTGTGATACGGGCAGTCTATCAGTTGGAAAAGCCTTGAGAACTCATATAAAAAAATATTTCTTGAACGCTCTTTTTCAATTTCATGCTGATTTTGTGGAGTCCGTTGCTTACGGATGTTTCACTGAGCTCGATATTGGGTATGTGTTTTTAATACATCATGACAGTATAGCAGAACGCAAAGGCAGAAATTAAATTATTTTCTTTTATTATGTACTTCTAATTTTTGACAACATAAATCAGTTCCAATTGCAAAGTCATAGGGAAAGCATTATATGCGTCATACAATGTCACCTATGAAGTGTATACACTTCAAATAAATCAAAATGAGTTAAGATCAATGTCACAGTCTTTAATTATTGATTTTAGGATGTTTTGAGAATGTTTTTCTTTATAAAAAAATATAATAAGGATTGAGAATCTTCAGAACATAGATTTTTTTTTCTATTTTATAAAATTCATCCTTGTTGATAATTGCCTAAACCTAGATATTTCTCAGTATTACTACTTAAACTTTTGGTTGATTACTGCAATTTTTCAATTACAAATGAATTCTTATTATTTAAATTTCCTTCCTACATTCTTTTATCAACAAATACCTTAGATCACAAATGCTTTTCTCTATTCCAACATTCATAATGAAGAAAAAAGCTTTCAACAGTCTTCCATGCGTGTGCAAAATCAGATTTGCCGTCAGAATATTTAAATAATTTTTGCTAACCTCAGCTAATCAACCCTTTTTGAGCTTTTTACACAATATTTTCTATTATCTGCGAAGAGAAAAATATAGCTTAAAACAATAAAAATTTTTTTTCTTGCGAATTTATTTGATGATGATTGCTAATTTTTTTGTGCATAGATCAAACTTTTCATTTCTGTTACAATTTGTACTACAATCATTGAGTTAAACTTTACAAGCATACCAGTATTCTAGCTCTATCACCCTTGGAAGTACTGTAACAAAAATGAATAAGAACTTTATAGTTTCATAAATTTGAATTATTTTGGGTAAGCTTTTTCTGAAGCTTTCAAAATTCGTTGTAAAAAAGGTATTTTTACTGCTTGTAAAGTCAACAACAAAAAAAAGTTTTATACAGAGATGAAATCTATCTGGGATGATATTGTCGCTGCCATCAGTAGGTATGATTTTCAACTATTTTTTTTTAAATAGAAGTTGCGGAGGAAGCGGTAGTATAATTAACTACAATTATTTACGACTGAATCTTTAAAAAACTTTGAATTGAATGGGTTTTTAGTGGGAAACAGTTATGCTTAATATTTTTTTATGCTAAGAAGAAAGCTTGCGACTAATTGTTAGGAACTGTAGGGGAAAATCATATGTACTTTGGGATTTTTATTCTTTCTTACATATGTCTAAGTTTCGAGATCCATTTTTCCTCGAAAATTTAATTTCCTCCTGAAATTTGAAATTTCAACTGCAGTTTTTGGGATATCTATTGAGGCATTGGTGTGTTACGGTTCTATAAGCAGTCTTTTCTTAAATTGTATTTCTCTTTCATTTTCTTGAAGCTATTGTATTTTTCATTCATGCTACATTAGAAAAAATTTTATTTACGGAATTTTCATACTAATACACCAATTGTTTTGCGGAATTTGGCTCTTTTACTACGGATCATAATTTTACTGGATCATTACTACCTATGACGAACATATGGTTTTTCTACTTTTTGATTAACTCTTGTGCATGTTTATCGGGAACTTTCTTGGTTTCATAACCCAAAAGTCTTCTTGCTATTAGTTAAAAGTTATCCATTTTAGTGAAAAGCTGGATGAGGAATTGAGCAAAATCTGCTTATGCTATGATATTGGAGAAAACAGTCAGGAGATTCGTTTGCGGCAGTTATTTCAGTTGGCTTTTAATTGTCCGTGCAAATTTGGCGATCTGGCTGGAATTGGTAATATCTTAAAGGTAAGAATAGGTTTTAGCAATTAGGGTTATAGTAATAATGTCGTCTAAAATGAATATTGTGATGGTACAATGCATTAAGGAATGTAAACAGCATTTGCTTTTTGATTCATCAATTGTTTCACAGAAAAATCAAAGTGTTTCACAGAAACGTGCGCAACATTGCATTATTGTTAGGTTGTGATTATCTGCATTTTAGAATTATAATACAAAACAGAATTGAAATCTTTTGATTTTGCATTTTTATCTTTAAATTTTGATGAGTCAAAATCAAAGCAGTTGAATTCTATTTACCTATTTTTAAGTTTTGGTATAAGTTTTTTGGAAAATTATGTTTTCTTTGCTCTCGGTGACTGAATCAAACTCATACGGTAGATTTTATCCCTGTATTATTTACAAATAATTTTTTCTTATTTCGGACAAAAACAAGTTATGTTCAACTAGCTGTAAAACAGATTTTGCAGTAAATTATTTACAAGTAACAAAGAAATACACAAGAATCATTTTTGCATCTGTTTAATAAGAATCCTTCTTAATTTGACTTCTGTGAAATTTTAGAATAAGTATAAAAAATTTTAATCCGTGCTTTAACCAAAAACAGTAAAATAGAGACAGTGATAGGAAGAAATGCAATTAATTTAATGTTCATTTTAAAATAATGTTCATTTTAAAATTAGACTTTATGGGGACTCAAAATTCGAACAGTTATAAAATAAGCATTTCATAGAAAACATGATGAAACATTCAATAATGGATGGTGATAAATTAAAATGAAAAAAAAGGTATTCTCTTTGCAGAATAAAAAGCTCATTATTAACAGAGATAATTCAAAATGATGATAAGTTACATGAGATTTCAAATGAATGATTTATTTATGTTTCTTATAATTTCTTTCATATTGTTTTGGCTTTATGATATTTATTCGTCTGATTTTCTTGCAAATTTTGTAAGATTGATTTTCTTTTTAAAAAATGTGTGAAAAATGTAATGACGGATTTTCATCCAAGTGGTTTAGGTTGTCATACAAATTATTTATATACTGAACAAACTTACAATCAATAACCGTACTTATTTATTCAAACCGATTATGACTTACTCTTTATCTTATCAATAAAATCAAACAAAATTAATCAAGTTCTTTTTGCACTTTTAATTTCACTGGATTTCATTAAGTGAGGGATTTGTATTTGACTTTTTAAAAATGTTTAAACTGTACTACCATACTTAAAAAAGTTTATAGATAATGAAATTAAAAAAAAAAATTAATTACCAATTTTTTATCTGTTAAATAAATGTAAATCTTTCTCTAGTTAACCAATCAGTTTTTAGAAAACCTCGAGAATGACTCATTTCACTTATTAATTGTTTGGTACACTGGCAACAAATAGTACATACCATACCGATTGGATAGCCCTTATGAGCCACACAACCATTCATCTGAACAAAGATCTGTTCGCACTCTTCATTTGAATTACCCTTTTCCTTGTTAATCAATAAACTACCATCGTTTGGGTATGGTCCATGACACGATATCAAACGACATGTCGGTGGTTTGATCTGAAACATATTGAGATATTCTATTATTTAAGTAGAATGAGAAAAATTTGTTTAAATTAGTAACTGATCATTTGTAAGCTCATTAAATTAGATTTGCGCTGTGCTTATGTGGTGATTTTTTAGTTTTTATGAATCTTCCAATCGATTTACAACTTTGTCTGTCAAATACACGCATTATATACTCGCCAAGATAGTTACAAGCTTTGAATTTGTTAAATATCCAAGTTCATCAAATTACAGGTTATGTCTTAATGTAAAGTTGTGTGTGACCGGCGAAATAAATATGTAATTTAAAAAAATCTCTTGAAGCGATGATAAGTGCACATTATTCAACTCGTACTTTTGTTAAAAATTCGAAGAATGCTTTAGAATACAGACACCGCGTTACCTAACTCTTTCGCCCTTTTCATTTAAAATGCAACAGCCATGTGTAAGTGAAATGTATTGGAATGACGTCACAGTGTTATTTAAATCATAGAAATTGAAATCAATGTTTTCATTTCATACTTTAATGGTTTCTTATGGATGAAACATTACTATAGTTTTATCACTAAGTATGTGAAAGTGTCACAGCAAAATAACATCTTAAGATTAATCTGGATATTACGACTTTCGGAACTGGGCGTATATTATTACGTTTAATAATTCAGGCCTATTATCTTGAAAGATTGGTATTTCTGATATGAAACTGCCAGATCAAACCAAACCCTTTCAAAGTGAGCTCCATGTAAGAAGTAGCGAGCTGGATTGCTGATAGTTCCTGCTTCTGATGCATCATCATTGCTGTTGAAGTTATCCGGATGTGGCACCGAACTAACCCGTACCGACAATTTATCACCGTAGATTTTACCTTGGTCTGGATTCGGGGATATCTCTAATTCTTGTTCTCCAAACCAGAACCTGCTACTTTCTGGTAACTTTGCAGATGGAGGATATGCGGTTATTGGTGGGTAATCTGGTTCTGGAATAGAATAACGAAATTTTCTTTAGTAACTCACGTTTTACCTAATGGGTGGTTTACTTAGCCTCGATGATTTAGATTGCAATTACTAACTCTCCACTATATATCTGTCTTTTACTTAAGAAAGCGCAAATAAGCTGCTTAAATTTTACAAGTGTCCTTATTTTAACGCAATAACTTTTAGTTATCTTATTTTATGGGACGCTTTTATAACTATATTGATCTCTATATAAACAAAATTTTTGCAGTGAATTATCAAGTTGCTGATTAATGAAAGAGTGCCTTTTTATTTTGGTAATATTTGGTTTTAATCTCATTTGTTTTAAATTTTATTTCATTTCATCCTTTATCAATGTCACATCATTTGTCTGGAATCATTTAGTCTCTGTATAAGAAACATAAGTATTTTGCTAATCAATTCGAGCTACAGAACGGTTGCGAAATGTTCAACACATCCTTGTTATTTTTGCTAACAATATAAAGATAGAAAGATTAATGAATTAGCAGAAGGAACTGATGTAATTATCATTAGGTCAAAACATATTTAATATGTAAAATAAAAGACATTGAAGATGTATTGTTAAATGTATGATGGATCATTTCATATAATGAGTTCATCTTTGACTAATGTGAAGTTAATTAGCTGATTCTTCACTTCTTAACTATTTACTTTGCATAGTTTAACTCAATAAATTAAACAATTCCAATAAATAATACCTACCCGCTGGTGGATAGTAGCCAAGATTGCTTTTTGAAATGAGGCTTTTTGTGGAGTCAAAGGAAAGCGTATCACATATGATCGATGTCGAAGAAAATATCGCAACAATAACGGTGGTCAACAGAAAAGGATAAAAAGTGGACATTTTGCGGTGATATAATTTTCTTGAAGACTAAAGCAACTGTAATCGGAATAGCAGTGAATATGTCTTCAGCAACGTATCAAACCCGGTGAGTCAACTGGAATTACTAGGTCCTCTCTATTTATAAAATAACTTCAAGTTTTTTGAAAGAGGGGCGGGATCTTTCTTGTCGATTGCTGCTGATGCCCAGTTTGGAAATTCCGTTCCCTTCTTCCTTAATAGTTATTTATATTGCCGTTGATTTTTTGAAATTTCGATTGGAAAAATGAAAAAGGAATCAGAGCAGGATGGCAAAATAGCAATTTAAAAAATTGTCATTTGACGCCCAAGGTTTTACATTTTCTGGATTGTTCCAGTGGGAAAAAAGTGAGAAAACATAAGACATGTCTGCTGGATGAACATTTTCGAATTGAAATTGCAAATATCGTCAAGTTATTTCACTTTCTTGAAAATAGATATATTTTTGTTTTAAATTAATGATGAATTATTTAATTCATCATAGCGAAAAGTTCTGCATCTAATGGAGCTTTTCTAGGGTTTTTTTTTTGACTGAATGCAGTCGTGCATCTTAATTGACTAGAAGAAAAAGGATAATTACTTCAGTTCGGTTTTTTTAATCTGATTTATTACTTTAAAAGTTTAGAAATTTGGTTTTACATAAGTACCACAATTTTTAATTCAGTTCTTATTTTCCTGTATCAAAGTTCGAAATTTCTTATTTAAATTTTATTTAAACAAGCTTTAAATTAAAATTTTGATCACGATTCAAAATTATTTAGGTAGTTTTTTCGTGTATGCTTAATTATAATTTAAATTATTGAAATTCTTATGGAGTTCTAATATTACCATATGATGGTGTGCTATATGAATGAATCCTATGTTTTGGAGTACTCAATCAGTACATCAAATAAATAATTCTTGAAATCGCTCAAAATTTTTATTACTCACCGCATCTTAAATTAATTTTGTATTAATTTTGTTGATTTTTTGTAAATTAATTTTGCAAGGAAGAAGTATTCCTGAAATTATAATGTTATCATTTTCATCTCAGTTCTTCTGACCGTTCAGATTATTCTGCGGTTGCCTCCATCATCATATTAATCATTGGAAATGAAATCTCTTTTCCATACAGATTATTGTTAAAATATTATCAAAGTTAAAACGATATCAATGATAGCGAGGGATTCCGCTATAAATGATTGAACTACTAGTTGGAGTGCTTTATGGAATGTAAAAATATAAATTTTCAACTTTTATATAATCACATAAAGTGTTATCATTTCGACCTTAAATTTTACAAAAAAATTTTTGCATCTTTTTTCGTTCTGTAGAATTTAAAAGTGTCACTTAGCCTTGTTAAAGTTTCACTTAGCTGCTGTTATTATTGATATTTTTTTTTGCTACTTTTGCATTTTTTTTTCAAAAAAAAGAATGCATTAAAGTTTTTTCTCTTTCATGTGGAATCCTGTCCTGGGTTTTATTCGAATTTTTTTATGGCCTTTTTACTAATTTTTCACTTATAAAATAATTTTCAGCATAGTTTGATGCGCTTTTATAGCGTAAATTGAAAATATGTCTGAAATTCCAGATTATTAATGATGTTTTGAGTTTTTCATTTTTTTTGAAATTTATTTTAAAAATCTTAGCAATTTTGAATTTCTCATTGAAATTTTACGGGGTTTCATCGTAAAATACATCTTCTGTTGCGAAAAACTAGGGTAATGAACTAGAATAAACCTGCTTCTTTGACATTATTATTCAGTGGAATCTTCATTAAATTTTCAAGGAATTGGCTTGTTACATAGGTCATTTTGCTTATCAATCAATTTATCTGATCGTAAAGTAAATGGTAGATGAATTGGTGAAGTGCAAGATCTTTTATCGGAATAAAAATTACTAAAACACCATTAATTTTAATTTAACTCGATCAACCAGCACTAATAAAAAAGTACTAATAAGTTAAAATAAGTATGAATAGATCATTAACGTAAAGACGACGTAAAGAAAATTTATTTTTTCTAAAATTCATTTGATTCTTTTTTTACACTTTTAAACTTTTTCTACTATATTTCCTGTATATTATTTTTTGTATACTATTTGTTTCCCCCCTATCTTTGGTGCTTTGCTTTGGTTCAAAAAAATGGAAGAAGGTTCTAAGTTTTGAAATTTAAAGATGCTAGTTCAACAATCAGCAAGTAGCATTTATTGCTCCTAAAAAGCATTGAAAAAATCTGAAAGCTTTGTCTATGCAAGATTTTATTATTGGAGAAGTCGCTGGATTGAATATGGGGCAGTCTCGACAAGAACTCATTATTAAAAGTTCATTTAAATTCTTGAACGTGAGACAATTGAAAAAGGAGATATCGGAAAATGATTATCAATTCTTTATCACACATCAGATGGGCATAATAATTGTTTTCGTCCTTTTCTTTTTTTCTACTACATGTTTACATTTCAAACCACTGAAAGGTCCGTAAAATTCACGAAAATTTTCTTATCTGGCATTTGTGAAATTGAAGTAAATTATCATTGACATCGCTCAGATTTGTGATACAATGAGGAAGTTCTTTTATATTCTTAAATCAGTGGAAAGAATATTCAGAAGAACTTTCATCAAAAAAGAAAGAACTTTCGCATGAGTCACCGCACATCGTTAATTAACATGAAAATTTGAAGGGGAAACAAATTTGGTTACTGTATTATATTTCTTTCCTAAATTACATGGTATGGGATAGAACAAAGGTCGAGTAAGAGAGATTTCATTATTAATTTTAAAATTCACTTCAGATTAATTTGTTCTAAAAGAGAGAAATGAAAAAATTTTGTGCAATATTTATTTGAAATTAAATGATGAAAAGTGTATTTTTTTATATCTCTGTGAGAAAACTGAACAAAAATTTTGACTGCTATTTTGTTTTAACAACAAGGGATGTAAATTTTCGCTTTAAATGTTTCAACGTTATATATGTCGTTGAGGATATTAAAAAATGAATAATTAATTGAAATTTATGATTAAATGAATTATCTCATATTCTCATTGTTAACTTCGAAAAATTATTATTCTCATTGTTAACTTGAATTATCTCATATTCTCATTGTTAACAAATTTACTATAATCGCAGATATATCATTTATAGCAAAATGTTATACATCATGACATTTATCAGGAACAATTAAAATTAAAGTCTAGTGATTTGCAATGCAATTGATTTTTGTATGTTCTTCTTTCCTATTTTATGAATCACATTAAACAGTAATGATTGAATAGCATTTGATGTTTTGTAACATAATGATTAAATTTATGAAATTCAACGCTAAATTCTAATTTTTGTCTCCAGCAGTTTGCTTTATGCAAATTAGCAAAATTTTTTGGAAAATGATTCATATAATTTATGTGAAGGTTCAAATGTATGCTAATATATTTGCAACATATTTTAAAGACTTAAGACTGATATAAACAACAAAACATATCTTTTGAGTTACTCCCTCTATCCCATAAAATTTTGAATTTTTTCCGCCAAAATGAATGACCCTTCAAGTAATTTTTTTTTTAAATTTCTTTTGTTTAAAAAAAATTTTTACACTGTACTGAGGATTTGTGCAATTTTTATCGCATAGAAAATGCAATATTTTTTACGTGCTGTTTTCGACATAAAATATTAAATATGTATATACTTTTCCAAATAGTTATTACCGATGTATCATTTATTTCAATAATTTTTTTTCTATTTTGAACAAACTATTTGATTTATCACATTATTTATCGGGCTGAAAAAAAACGCTTTGTGAAATACTGAAATTTTTGAAATTTTTTAAATTACTGGTAGATTTATTTGTTGCACTCTTTTGGCATATTGGTTGATTTGATGCTTGAGTGCAGTTTGATTAAATTAGATTCCTGGGCTCTTCTTTCAACAGTTCTCTTGATTGTTATCGATTTGCCAGGTAAATGTCAAGGTCGACTGCTCCAAAAAATTTTTTGAGGAAGCATTGTAATAGCTATTTTATTTGTTGGAAGAGATTATGAGTTTTTAAAAAATGTAATTCATAAGCACTTGTTAATAGAAATTTATTAACTATACTTTGGAATATCTTCAAATATTCCAAAACGTAGTTAATAAATTAGCTTAGAAATAGCTTTGGAAAAAATAATATAATATAGTTTTTGCATAATCTTTCGAGTACACTGAATTTATCCATTCATAGATTTAAGTATGGGTTTCATTTCATCTCCTGTTAATTATCTAAGCATTTAGGGTTAGATTTTGAAAATGACCTGAAGTTTAAGTTTAAGTATTTGAACATTGTTGCCTACCGATTTTTTTTGTTGTCAGTCATTTGCTCAATTTAACTGACAGTCTAATTTTTTCATTTAATTAATTGGTATCATACTATTTTTAAATAAAAATACCACTGTGCTACTGAGCTTGAAACTATTTGATTTTACAGCTATTAAGCGGAAAGGAAAAAAAGAATGAAAAACAAGAGTGACCATTTGCCAATTCAATGAATTAAATTGAGTTATAGTTATAATATCACATATGAGACAAACTATCAAATACAAATTTCTGAAGTCCGTCTAATTCTCTATTTTTTTAAATTTCTAGGCCAGTAAAACCTAAATATGATCTTTTCTTATCAATGATTCATTATAGCAGAATGAATGTATCAATTTAGTTTAAACGAATTTGCATTTATTTGACAATCATCATAAATACAATGATTTTTATTTTATATTGGTTATTTAAATCATGTTAGCAGCACCTGATCCCATTAATAATTGCAATGTTAGTAAAGAAAAATAATGATTGCAGTATTAGGTGTAAGTGCAGCATTTTTTTCCTCTCTCAAAATTACCACTCATTAAACTGGCTATTTTAACTGCAATTTTTCTTTCAACCATGCTTTTTTATTTCTAACTGCAAATGCACTTTTGCCATGTAAAAATGTAAATTTTGATGTGACTATCAGCGCATCAACATTCCACAAATTATTGAATAGTTGTCGAATTCATCGAGTCACTTTTCCCTTCCCTTTTTTGTGACCCAAAAAAAGATAATTAATGAAGAGTATACTATCTGTTGAATTGAGGAAGAATAATAAATAAATAAAAATTGGACAAATAATTTTCTCAAATATAATTAAGCTTTCATAATTCAGCAAATTATGAAGCATTTTTATTTTTTAAGAGTTACTGTTAAATTTTTCCTACCTTAAAGATTATTCTATTTTCTTGCAACATACTTTGTTACTTAAAGTACATGCTGTCCATATTGATATGAGCAGAAATTAGAAATCAATTCAGTGGAATGGATCCTTTTGATAATATTCATAGTGGATTTTTTGAATCGCAGTGTGGAATTAATTTTGAAGCGATAAATTCATACTGCAACAATATAATAGAAATGTAAGAGCAAAATGATCCAATTATTGATGTGTAGTGATGCAATTATTTTTCTTTAAAAACAAAACTTAATGATTGGGAACAGATCGAATTTAGCACTTATCAATATCCAAAACATATTACAGAGTAGAGAAGACATTTTCGAAGCGGGATTGAAGAGCTATTGGATATCTGCTAAATATCAGTTAGATCATTTTGGTATTATTGGTGATAATACTTATCATTTCTGGAAGTGTGCACCGATACATGCACAATCGGTTTGTTATTTTCCATTCCAACAAAAAATTCACAAATCAAATCTATACACAATGTATCATTTTGATTAGTAAATATTTTAGTGAAATTTGATTTTTCTATTTAGCTCAAACAACCAGGTCGTTTATTATTGTGGAAAGCGACAAATAAACAGTTGGAAACATCAGGTGTGATAAATGTATATGGGAATTCAACATGGACAACAATGAGACATGGCTGGCTTGCAGTTGCTGTTTTTAACGATGCCATCGCAGTTATTGAGGTTTTCAACAAATGATTTTTTTTAAACTTCATTGACTAAGAGATTTATTTAAAGGGAAATTGTAGAGTTTTTGACCAGACCGAATTATTCAACGAACAAATATTATATTATAATAAAATTAGGAATTGATTACAAATGATCATCAGTATCAGGCTAATTTGGTGAGCTATTTGTACAATGAAATTTTAAAATCATATGTGATCTAAGAAAATATTATTTTCATTGGTAAATCTGAAACATTTAAGATAAGCCATTCGCATACCAAACACTTTAATTTTTTTTAAAATTTTGATTGTAACACGATATGACGTTAATGATTCCGCAAAGAATGAATTGTGCTCTACATATGATCGTATCTATCGCAATTATCATGCAAAAAGCAGAATATTTTCGGATGTCATATTAAAGCGATAGTGGAATTTATGAAATTTAAGGTGATAATTATTAAATGGAAGGAATTATTTTAAAAAAATTTTCCAGAAACAAGATGTTATTGTGTTAAACTTTCCACTAGTTTGGATAGAAGTAAGTGAGGAAGAAGGCAGCGAATGTTTGGTACGAGTATTTGGTCCGGAAAACAAATTTCACATTCAATTCGCGAATATTGAATGCAAGGTGTTGTACAAGTTACAGATTTATGTTTCTATGTTTTTCTCATACATTTCATTAAGCACATTATCTAATATTCTATGATAATGATATTCTCAAAAAGAAAGCTTATATTAAAAATATCAAGAAAGAAATATGGGTAACTAAAATATGAATTACATGGAATTCATGCAGTATGTTAAACATGATATTGAGATCTTTCGTTTAATAAATTTTGAAACAAATATAACTGTCCCGAAAGTGAAATGTTATTTGCTAGTAACATTTTTGGATACTTCCTCTCATATTTCTTTAAATACATCGAGGAATCTTTAAATTTTAAGTATGTAAATTTTTGCAAAAAAAGATCTCCTAAAAGAATTTTCCAGTGGTCATATTTCTTTAAAATTCTAATTTCTCTTTTTATCGTTCCGGAAATTTCGAAGAAATAGAGAAAATTTTAATTCCTTGCATTGTTATATGACCATATCGACTGTGTGATGAAATACCATAATATTTCGACATTTTTGCTTCATTCTTGAATCTACAGTGGGCCATATAAGCTTTAGTAATTACCATTCGATGACCGGTATTATGATAAATTTTGCTGTTAATTTTCATTTTAATTGTTTCGATTGAAAGTGTTTATTATTCTAGAATGCATTTCTGCATGCCATGCGGCAATGGAAACATTTCGATGAACGATATACGACAGATTATATTTTGGAGCAATATACTGTCGAACTACCCGAACGGCGACATGGTTACTACAAATTTTCACCTCATCATTCTGATTTTGGAGACTGCACTTATGATGGTTATTGGTTATGTGGCAAACCTCATGGAAGGTATTATTTTCGGTAATACTTTTTGCTGTGAACGGGAAAACAATTTAATTATTTTTTATTTGCTGTGAACGTAAAAAAATAAACAAATTTAATTATTAGGATATCAGTTACATTTAAACTCTTTCTTACAAACCTTTTGTAAAAAAATTTCTACTCTGGAAAAATTTGTTAGCATCACGGGCTCTTTTCTGCTTTTTCCCCACTTTAGAAAATCTAATGAAAGCATTCAATTTCCAATAATCGAGCAGAATTCACATCTTTCTTCCATATTTTTTTTTTTGTTGAGAAACTAGCTTTCTATGAGTCGTTGATTAAGTACATTGAAATACTGTCTATAGCCCTAATTTTGTGGAATTTAGAAATTCTTTTCTAAACTGATCATATTTCATAATCTCGTTGATATATTTTATCACTTATTTTTGCTGTAGAGGTCATCTCGTGTGTCCGAACAAATGGGAATATCGAGGACACTTTACTGATGGACGTTTAGAAGGGTATGTTAATTTTTATTTAATTTATGCTTTAGTGATATTAGCGTTTTCGCTAATAAATATGTGCAGTTTATTATGACAGTGGCAGTTTATAGATAGTAATTTTATGAAACTTTTTTAAAATAATGTATGAAATTAAATAATTCATGTTAATTGACGAACGGAGCGAAATAAACTGTATGAATGGTTTGATTTTCAGTTGTTGATTATTTCAGTTATAATGCATTTTTATTATTTAATTTAATGAATATTTCTATTCTTTTTTTTGTTAGCAAATATTCTAGTAAAAGCAGCTAAACAATGCTAGGTTCGGAAAAATGTCAATAACTACAAGTGGAAATTTGTATAAGATCAACACAAATCTTACTGACAAAGAGGAAAGAACATCAGAAGTTGATATATACACTGGTTTTTGGCACAATGGCTATCTAGATGGGTTAGCTCATATCACGTAAGAATTTTTTTGCAACAATTTATATTGAAATTATATAACAAATTGGTAATAAAGCTTTTCCTACTATGCTTTCGTCAAAATACTCCATTAATCACGTCGTCTTGCGTTATCCGATAATGGTACTTTCAATTCTTTTTTTTTCAGATTTTCAAATGGTGAGACATATGAGGGTTATATGCAAAAGGGACTAAGACATGGTTATGGCATATTACATACATCTAAAGATGATGAGATGGAAATATATTTCGGTGGTTGGCAAGCAGGGATGCGTTCTGGATATGGAGTTTCTATAAGCAATAGTACTATCTTTATTTCTGTTAAAATTTAATGATGTTATCGAATTAATTTTCTAGCTATGATTTTTTTAAAGAAATATTTTTCCTATTGAATGTTTGTCTTCCCCATTAGTATAGTTATGAAGCAAAAAACTTTGCACATAAGTCATAGTTTCTGAAGTAATGTTGAGCATCATCTGGAATAATATGACACTTTTTTTACAACATTCTGCATAAAAAAGTTGATTTTTTTGCAAATTTATTCTTCATGAGTCGAGACTCATGTATTAATGTTTTTCTTCTATAACGATAATGCAAAATACTGCTTCTTTAGAAGAACGCTATTTGGGTATGTGGAAGAATGATTCAAGGCATGGTAAGGGTACTTTGTTAGGTATCGAAGGTATATATCATGAAGGAGAATTTGATAACAATCGTTTGGTGGTTTGTTTTGAATCTGAATGAATAAATCACATACATACAGTTTCTTGATTTTCAATAAAGAGCTTAAGAAAAACAATTTTAATATAGAATAGATAAATCCGTAAGGACAAGAAGAAACTTTCTAGAGTCATCGAGTACGTTTTGATTTATCTTTCATAGAAGATGAGATTAGGTGATCGTGGCTTTCCTATTCTCGATCTTATCTGCTGAAAATCTATTCATTAATATTTATGTTTGAAATATATTTTGAAATTTCATTGGTTTTGAAGTTGCTTTTTCGAAATATATTTTGAGTGATAATTAGAATTTTGCAGCGTGGTCGTTTGATTCTATCAGCAGCGGATCATTATTCCGCAGTAGCTTTCGAAGGCGATTTCGAGAAAGCTGGTGTTATTTGTGGGAAGGTAATTGCAAAAATAAAAGATAAAAGTCTGGAACTTTTTGAGAATAAAAAATGTATTGATCATAATGACCTTATATACTATTGAAGTGTACAAGAACTATTTGAAAGTATCTTGTTACTTTTACGTTATAAAAGATATGGTTTCTTGCTAATTTTTAAAAATTTTAAAAAATAGATGGATTTCAACTTAAAGAAAAATCGCTTGCAGGGAACACTTCATCTAAATCAATTTGATCATGTAAAAGGGCGGATGGTAGGTGATATTATCAATGGTGAAGTGAAAATCATCAATGCCACTTATTGGAGACAAAAACCTACGCTATTGACATCTTTTTCGTTAGACAAGTAAATTTTGAATAATTTTAATTTTACAGCTTCAACGGCACTTTTTTTAAATTACAATTTTGGGTTTCAGTGATATCGCATCAACAACAAGTGAGTGGACAATTGATGCAGAGCTAAAATGGAAGGAACTTTTCCAAAGTTTCTTGGTGCATGATTTTGGTGTTCCAATCCATATAGCAAATGCTGCTGATGTTAGCGAAGTTGTTGATGATGCATGTCGTGTTGCTATATGGAATTCGCTTGCATCGAGTATGACGAAGATTCGTTTAGGAATGAACAAAGAAGAAATCAAGTCTGTCGTTTCTAATAATTTCAAGGTTTTAATAGTAATGAGTTATAGATTATTAGTGTCTACATCTCTATCAGCCCTTAATAGCCCTGATATATGGCGCCTTTTCGTGCTATTTGTTTTATCAGTTGACATTGTCTTGGAATTTCTTTTTTAGAGTTACATTCGACAAGAATCTTGAAAAGATTCCGCAGTACACATTACAATGGTCGGGTAAATATTATGAGATGGTACAACAATATTGGAACCTGGTATATTTTCAAAGTTTTACTTCTGCGATTTCCTTGTTTATTTCAGACCTTAATCTGAATTTCAAATTAGTTTTTTAATTTCTATCGTAGATTTCAAGAATAATTTTGTGTCCTTTTTTGACCAGGAAGTCTGATATTAATTTCTGCTAAGACTCTTATACTTTAGTAGTCATTTTTGCTTACCTGCTTATGTAATTAATACTTTGTAAAAACATGACCTATAAATCCTTTATTGCTGCATTCTTTTATTGCAGGCCTTGAAGCATAAGTACCATCCACTTCGACGATTGGTGTTTGGTTTATTTGAAGTTTTCACAGGTTCTTATGGTACAGTTGGTACTCATCGAGCTGTTTGTAAACAAGCTGTTTGTGAATTGCGCAATATTCATTCGAAAATTTATTCTGTTATAAGGTGAAGCTAATTGATAAATAGTCCTTACAAATTCCTATCTCGGCATATTTTCAAAATGTTACTCATTCAAGCATTATTTTCAGACTGTTATTTAGCAGTCTACCTCATACTTTTGAAATGTTTGCGCCCATACCAATATGTACAGATAATAATCTAGCATCCGGAAATACTGATTTTGATTCACAGTCAGCTAAGGACGAGTAAGTTTCTTCGTTCTACATCCTATTTGCTCTGATTATAAATGCAAGTGGTCAATTAATATTGCTAGATAAATCTGCATTGCTTCAAATTTCTGAATGATGCAAACATTTGAAATGTTGAAATGATGTGTCGACATACGTTATCAAAATGTTATGTAAGATAGGGATTTTCCAAAAAAAATAATGATCCCAATCATCGAACTATTATTTCCTCCAATCAGTTGTTGATTATAACACGAAATAATTTTTAGAAGTACAACTGAACGAAACGATGAATCGAGCTTCAGAGCATCTCTTTTATACCCTTCATGCAATTTTATTATTGAAACAGTTTTCTCTGAGTGTTATGCTGTAATTTTCACACTTTATTCGGTAAATTGTGCTGATTTGGATCGGCGATATTGGGAACGAGTTGTTTATTTGAATGCCTTCACTGATGTGAAATTACTAACCTATCTCGAAATAAATCGGTAAAGTTTCGAGTTTAAATTTTGTTGAATTACGTAAAGAAGTGTAGAATTTTCTTTGCTAAAAGAATTTCTCCATTTAAAATCTTTTTTCGTTCGTCGCAAAATTTTTATTCAAAATCTATTTCTCTCCCCCCCTCCCCTCAATTGTACATTGAGAACTCCATTCTTAAAATGAATTTGTATGTGAACCAATATTCCGGATTATATTTTCAGCCGGCTATAAAAAACTAGATGTTTTTTAAGTTATCCTTCCTGAACTTCAAGCGTTCCATTGAACTTCCCACAGCTGCAATTAAATAAAGTGCATTTGAGTTTTTTCGATTCAATTCGACCCAGTGCTCTGTTTATGAATTATGGATTTTTTGATGCCTATTTCGAAACCTTCTGTTTGGTCCGCATAAATTATTTCAAGCACTACTTGTCCACAATCACTTCTGAAAATACTATCTGGGAAAACATTTAAAACTTGCTCGGAAAATGAACTTTTATAGGGATCTCTGGCCAATTAATACCGAAAATGTCGATGATCTCGACATGTCATTGGTGAGTTCTCGATCAAAACAAATTAGCAAATTTTGATTTCCTTGAGTACAAGGTAAATACAGGTACGTTCAAACGTGCGACTTCTATGAAAAAAAGTTAACGATAGGCAAGACATTTAAATAAGGCATCCCGACTTAATGAAATAATTTACAGATCCGTGCAACTGCTCGCAAGAAATTCTATAAACCAGCTATTCAGGCATTGCAACAAATCAGTTCACATTTCAACCCAATATCCAAACTTGCAGCACTGGCAGATACGTTTACGGAAATTAGAGCGGTTAGTTTCTTTCCTTATTGCTACATTCTTGCTATTATATCGCTTTATTATTCTCCAATGAAATTTGGGATATTTCATCAAAAATTTTAAGTAGCGAAACAAGACTTCACGGTAATTCCAATATTTGTTTAAGATCTTCCGTCTCACTTCGGTATCACTTTTTTAGTGTATTTATTCCTAGTTCTGGACTTTCATTGCAATTTTCTGTTGGCATTGTATTACAATTCAGCGAATGAGAAGGGAGAAAATAGGGCCGAACTAAGAAAGAGCAAAAAACAATTTTTGGCAAATAATGAAAAATGAAGTTCCCTTATTAACTATATATCGTTCTCATATCTTCCTGATTAATAAAATAATATCGTAAAGAAATGAAATAAATGTTCAGAAATTCATCTTCAAGAATCTTCATAATTCTCCTCGATTTCTGACTCTTTGTTTGTGAAAGATGTAAGCAAACGAGCATGAAATGCAAATTATTTTCAAATACGAAAATATCAACCCTTATATATATAGACAAAAGTTTATAGGCACACGACAACAATAGAACGTAATATCCATGAGAGTTGACATTACACGTCAAAAAACTGATCTTTCTATAATAAAGAAAAAATTGATCACTTCAAAATCAAATCAAACGGAAAGTATGTTGAGGTAGAAAGTAGGAAGACCGTATTTATAGTGATCAGGTATGATAACAGGAAAATGTTGAGGTTTGAAGACATACTCCTGAATTACATTCAAACATTTTTAGTTGAAGAAATTATAACTAGAATGAAATGTCTAATAAAAGGAATAGAGATGAAATACAAAATTGTTTGTCCTAACTTTAAGCTCGGTGTATCTTTTACTAATGACGCAACTGTTTATAGAAGCAGTTTTTACCACCGAGAATGCATCAGATAATGAAAAATAAAATAACTACTGCTAAGAAGAACTCATCAAGCAGTGGGATAACAATGAGTTCATGGGATATTCTAGGTTTCTAATTTTTTTAGATTAAATGCTTATTGGTTTATACTAAAGATCTTTACTTAATGTCAACTATTTTTACCCAACATTTTCACTTTTTGAGAGATAAATTATCCGAAGTTAATACTACAAGTAGAGTGTTATGAGTTTGCCATAGCACTGGATTGGACAGTTTTGTTTTTTTCAAATAATAAACAGTTATCAAAATATGAATGTGTTAAAAGATATCGTTTCATTAAATAATGGCGAGTGATTAACAAAAAAATAAGTAAGGAAAACTTAGGAATTACAGTTAGCTATGAATCTTCGAAAATGAGGAAAATTTGAAAGCACATTTACATGAAAATTTGAAGAAAGTTGTATCATACTGGTCATTTATTCATTTTACATTCTAATTTGATTTAACTTCTATCTGCTTGCATTACTGGGAAGAAAGCTCTATGAATCAGAATATCTACTAGTTTCAGACTTATCTCTTATAACAATTGGTAAGAAAGTTAATTTCTATCATCGCCTACTTGAATATAAAGCATATCCTTAGAAATTTTCAAAAATTCATGAACAACTTACATAACTATGAATCAAGCATAGTTTGTAGAATGCGATCTAAAAGTGTATTGAGGATTGGGACTGGTACTGCAACTGATTCCGGTACCGTTGTACATGGTAAATCTTGCGAACATTCTCCATCGGAAACAGGTGATGAAGCTGAGTTGGATAACTTTGCCGGCAAAACAAATGCGTGAATTACCGGGACGTCCGAATCCTTGTAATTTTCTAGTTCCTTGCAGAGTTCTTCATCTATTGCGGAATTTGGCCAGCATTTTTTGTTCTCATTCGAAGTGATAGTAATGATAGAAGTATTTTCACAGGATTTAGACTGATTGGATGATGGAATGCTTCTCAACTCTGCTCTGTTTGAATTTTCTGATTCAGTATTTGTAGATTGCTTCTGTTTTTCCGATTTACCATTAATACGGTTTTCTTCCATCTTACTCTCATTAACACTTGCACTGCGGATCATATTTTCATCTTTGATTGGCAAAGGAATGTTTGAATGAAGAGCGATAGCTGCCATACATTCCAGGAATCGTGCTTCCATGGCCGGAGGACGATGCTGGAATCTTATTTTTGATGGGAGGCAGTATGGTGGAAAAACACAGTTCCATAATCAAAATTAAGTTTAGTAGGCAAAGAGCAAAACTTCATGTATCGTCTAAAAACTCTACAAAATTTGATTGACTTAAAAGGAAAAAGGAAAGGTAATGAATACCTTGTCTGCAAATATGTATAACATTCCCAACAACAAAAAAGCCTGCAGAACGTTTTACGGAGTGCGTGTGGTCGAGAAATTTAGAAATCGAATCATTCAGAAAAACAAACATTTAGGGGATGATGACGGTCCGGTGAATTTTCATCAAACAGGCCAAATGTTACACATTTTTCTTTGTTACTTTTCGAGCTTCCATTTGATAAATTTTTATTGTCGAGCTCCATTAAACAGTGCTGTTGGTTCTTCTCTGAGTTACATGCTGAAAATTTTTTTTATCCCAGCTAATCGTACAAGCGAAAACTTGAATTTCACTTATCACCATAACGCTGCGAAACACTTACAACTGTTATGCTCTTAAAATACAAAGCGAACAGTAAGACTAATATCTTTTGCCAAACAATTCTGGGAACAGTTATTTATTTTACATGTTAAAAAATATAAAAATAGATGGACAGTGGATAAACATTGCGCTTTTCCCATATTTTAAGTAAAAATTGGGACAGGACCCAGTTAAAAAAATCGTTTCGAGAAAGAACTGTAAACTTGGATAAGATAAAGGGGGGATGAAAACAAGACAGATTTTCTTATGCTCTTAGATGAGCTACGGAAAACTATTGAAAGAACATCTAATGAAGGCAAAATTTAATTAACAGCGTAAACTCAACTGTTAAATTCATTTTTTTTTCACAACTCAATTTACAGTTGGTTTCAATTTTCTGAAATAATAAACCTTTCGTGAATTTCTGTAGGCTCCGCCGTCCACTTTCATCGGTGACACCTATTTTGCTCCGCTTTCCGCATATCATCTCTGTTTCTCGCTCGATGGTGTGATTTTCACTACAGAGAGATCGCAGTATGGACATTTCATCATAAGGCCTTTTCATTTGAATACGCTGCTGTTTACTGCCATTATTGTTATTATGTGATGAGGAGTTGTGATTTAACGAAGGATTTAGCTGTTGAATCAAGGAAAATGTGACACCATTAGGTGACATATCAGATACCGTACTATTTGTACATGTCTGTTCATTGACAGCAGATGACAATGATGATCCATTAGCCAACAAATTAATCTGTAAATAAAACGATAAAACCAAAACATAATCTATTATGTTAGTATATATGTTTATTACAAACTGAGCACATGATGTCTCTAAATTTCTGAAGAATTTCACCAGTTAAAGTCTGACAGAGAGACAGAGAGACCTGAAGTTATCTGGAATGTTACTAAAATTCAGATTTATTAAAGTTAGCGCATCATGCATCTCTTCTCTTTCATGAAGCAATAAAAGAATATTGATGTTCTACACACTTAACTGGTTGTAAAAAAAGAACCTGTGCTTGTAGTAGAGATCTTTCAAGAGAAGTTGTATCACCGACATTCTTACTCATAATATCAGATGTGAATATACCATTTGAAGCTGAATACGGTGAGAAGTTTGGATCACTGAGCTGTAGCATTCGAAACTGTGGCGTTAACAATCCAAGTGCAGCGGCATTAACTGGTGGAAGAACATTGAAAGCAGCAGGAAAAAATCCTGCAGCAGCAGCTGTAGCCATTTGCATTTGCATAAGAAGTAAATCATAGTATTGTTGTGATGATGCTATAGGAAGTACAGGAGGTATCGGAGGTAGTGATGATGGTTGTGCAAGTAACGAAGGTGCAGTAGTTGTAGCAGCACCAGGTAAATCCGTATTTATTGGTGAAAATGCTGAGCAATGATGTGCCGGTGAGGTATCTATTGATTGTTGTTGTTGCTTTAAGCATGACTGTAATTGTGGTGGCAGTAAAGAATACAATCGATCACTATTTACAAATAATGATGGAAGGCATGGTGGTGAAGATGATGGTGATGTTGTTTTATATAATGTTTCATGAATATTATTGGTAGTTGTAGTAGTAATAGATGATACAGCAGCAGTTGTATTAACAGCAGTAGCTAAATGAGAATTTTGCTGTAATTGGTTATGTAGTTGAGCAGCAGTAAAATATGCTGCTTGCAGTGCAACAGGATCAAATAATGGATTAATAGCAGCTGAAGTAGCTGATACGGTTGTTGTTGAGGTAGATGTTGGCACTTTATTCGTCTCCATTTTGCTTTCGCCTCCTTTGACAGTTCAGAAATAGTTTTTGTAATAATAATAATACCAACCGTATTACATTAATTTGATCTTAAAAAAAGTAGCATGAAATTAAAAAAAATTAGTAAAATGAGAGAGGGAAGAGGAGGGATGTATGTATGCACCCAAATAAATCCTAAACAAAACGATGCTGCCAGTCCGTCACTTACGATGACGATCGGAATGAATGAAGAAAGAAAGGATGGAGCAGAGAGAGAGATGGCTGTTGCCACTGCTAGCTATAGTGCCCACTCTCTTTAACCGAAGTGCAACATCACGTAAACATTGCAGGATACTGATTGTACTACTATTCCACTCGTAAATATCAATGAAAAGAAAAAACATAAAGTGCATTTAAGCCAAGTACTTCTTCCTCTTCTTTTTCCATTCCTTTTCATTTCACAGCTCAAATGGAAAGAAAAAAAAGGTATCGGCAGTATACGGCAAGTTGTACTTTCATAAATTGTTTGAAAAACAGGACTTAAAAATTCTATTAAGCTAAGAAGAAAAACAAATGTAAATATTTTATTAGCTAAGGAGAAAAGAAAGATGTAAGCCTTAAAAATGAAAAAGTAATTTTTTCTTTTTGCAATTCCATGTAACTGTACTCTTTCAACTAACCTCTCACAGTACTACCTCCATTTTCTGCATTCCTCTTCTCTCCTGTATTTATTATTAAAATTATTTTTCTGATTATTTACGACTATTCCACATAGCTGGAAATGCAAATGATATGGATGGGTTCGTTGTTGGATGAGATGGATAAAAGGGAGGAACGAATTCACTACTTGTACTTATGTTGATCGATGAATAGTACCAAAGTGCTAATAACCAACGAACAAAAATGAAAATAAATAGAACCTCTCCCTGGTTCAATTTATTTTCATTA